GTAATTTGCATGCAGAAACAATATTTAATAGATGAAACTTAAATTTAAAAAAAAACGTGTTCAAAAATTTTTTGAAGATTGTTTTTTTATCAAACTCTGGGCTGAATAATATAATAAAATATGATATAAATGAAGTGGACTAACTATCATTGACAATATTCGATTGTTAAAGTTAAGCCGAGATATACATTTCTTGGAAACTGAGAGAATAAGAATAAATATTATTTTTTAAAGTTTTAATCCCAACATAATGAAAAGAAAAACCAATCTTATTTAGAAGGGATGAGTGCAAACAAAAGTAAAAAAAAATACGTAATCCTCTTCTTTTTTTTAATTGCAAAAAAAATGTAAAATTTCATATTTTTGCAAAAGTGACTGATTATATGATCATTCTCATTTTTAGCTCTGCGCCAATATGCCCGATTCTGGACTCTCCAAAGTAGGACTAGTGATATTAAACAACTCGATTTGGGTCGATTTAAAAACGGTTCGATTAAAATCTTAGCCAAAATAATACTATGTAAAGCCTCGAGATTTAGCATAAGTCTAACCCTTTCTGCCATCTGTGAGTAATAGGCTTACATAATATTTTGGCTAAAATGTCTAGCCGTTTTTTTAAATCGATGTAAATCGTACCTTTTAACAACACTAACTCGGACCTAATCTTAAAAAAATTGTTCCCAATTTGGACCTAAATTTATTTTTAAATCGGAATTGAAGAATTTCGAATAGTATTCATATTTAATTTAACATTGTATTAAATTATTAAACCTGAAACCAATTCTTTTTTTAAAATCTTTTATATGGGTTTGGGTTTACTGAAAAAATGGGTTTTACAATTTTTGTATAATTCATTTTATCATCTAATTTTCACAATAAACTGATAATTGTGACACCTTCTTAACCAAGTTTATAAAATAAATATGAAGTTTATCACTAAAATTATCATCAAATCTATCTTAAAATAATAATAAATCCAGAGTTTAAAAAAAATCATTTAGCAAAAATCCTTGAAGATCATAAAATTGAAAATTTTTTTGAAATTGAAATGGTGATTTCATCTTGGGAATTTTTTTATGCAAAAAAATCACAAAGATTTTTTTTACAAAAATGATTTGAAATTTTAGGTAAATTTTGATCAAAAATCTTGTTTGAGCATTCTGAAAAATATTTCCATTTTTTAAAATGAAGATTTTTTTTGAGCAAATGTTAAACTCTGATTAAATCTATAACCCTAAAACTATTAATATTTAAAAAAACATGTTATTTAAAATAATTAATTAGCTATGTTTTGAATCGCGATCATTTTTTTTTAAGAATGACTATTTAAAATATGAACTTTTGGAGGTATAACCAGGATTAGTTTTGCTAAACCATTTGATTTTTTAAAACAGTTAACCTAATATTTTAACCAAAATATATACGCAAGTCTGGGATTTTGCTCATGGATGACAGAAAGGTTTGGACATTTATTAATGAAATCTCGAGGCTTGCGTAATTAATTTTAAATTGGCGAAATCGAGTCGTTAACACTACCCAGTATTTTGTTAGAGGGGAATTGGAAGTATTAGGTGCGCCCCCCTTATACATTTTAATGGAGGTATTTTGACCCACCTATTGCAAGCCTTTCTATATTACATTTTTTTTTTAAATTTTCGTTTTTCATCTTTTTTGTTAAAATATTTTTCCCCCTAAAATTATAGTCATTATTTTTAAAAATTATTTACTTTTTTATCTTTCAAATGATTGTTTTTAGTGATGTAATCATATCAAGTCAATACCACAAAACTTTATCCGCGAAATGTATTATCGCGAATGAATTACCGCGAAAAGATATTTCGTCGAATACATTACCAACGCAAATTTATTATAGCGATCGCGATGCATGGTAATACATTCGCTATATATTTTTGCGCTAATATATTCGCTTTAATGTATTCGCCGTTGTAACATATTCTCGCAAATGCATTATTCGCTTTATTTATTTCGCATATTATATTCGCGGTAATGTATTCGCTATATTTCATTCATGGAATTCTTTTCGCGGTAATCGACATTCGCGTTAATGCATTTCGCGATAATGGCATGTAACTAGGGCTGGGAACCAATAGTAAAAACCCAATATTAACAAAATATTATATTGGTATTGGGTCTAAAATATTGGTATTGGTTTAAACAATATTTTCTGTTTCTTGTATTGGTATTGCTATTGGTGTTTATATTGGTAACTATTGGTTTATATTGGTAACTATTGGTTTATATTGGTAACTATTGGTTTATATTGGTATTGGTTTAAATTCAAATTACTAATTTAAAGAATATAGTGATTATAAAACCCTTAATTTCTAATTTTAAATAAACATGGGAAAAAATCATGATACCATAAAATCAGGGCTAAGAACCAACTCTCAGAATTTTAATGAATTCAAATTCTTTTTTTAAACTAAGAATTTATTAGGTGATGTGAATATAAAAATTTTTGATTTAATCATGTATTTTTTGTATCAACAATAATAAACGTATTGATTTTGAACCATTTTATTTATCACAAAGAACATAGCAAAATAAGTAAACTAAAAATGCGACATAACTATCTATTTATACAAAATATAATGCGAAAGAATGATATAATTTTAATATAAGAAGAGGAAATAATTTTATGTATTTAAGAAGAATCTTGCATGCTCATCCAACTTTTTAGGCACAGGCAAGCTTGTATAGTATGCTCATCTAGTGAACAACGTTGGTCTATTATAACATACCGTCCTTCTGAAACCCTTTCAGACCTAGATGAGTTGGCCGGAATTGCTAGATAATCTCTGGCAATTTTTGATAATACTGGATATCTATTTATATTTAATTTCCACCAATCTAATGGATTTGTATCATTGGAAATTGTGGCTTCATCTACGTATTTACTTATTTCTAAGTTGTTATTATTATGAGGTTTCACCTGATAAATTTTGTCATAAAAGGACAATTTTTTGTTATTTTGTGCTTCATTTGTAAGTTCCGCTGAATTGTTATTATTTATTTTATAAATATTGTATTCATTAGTAAGATATCCAATAAGAGTTTACATATTATTATGCTTTAATAAATGACTTGATAGTTTAAATCTTGGGTCAATCATTGTTGAAATAATATATAGGTGTTTATTAAAATTATAGTATATATTAAGTTTTGTCAAGGCAGCTAATGAAGCTGTCTTTAAAATAGCATTAGGATTATTATTATAACTCTCAACGTGCTCAAAAATACTGGAATATAAAGGAATGATTGTTGAAACTGATGGAGTATTAGCACATGAGGCCATCTCTGTAGCAAAATTAAATGGTTCTAAAAATTCTCGGTATATTTCAATATTATTCCAAGCTAAGGCACTAATATAATATTCTTCATTAGTATTTTGTTGATGATTGGTATATATTGTGAGATAAGGTTTGAGTAATAGCCCTTTCGAGCATTTGGTACGTTGAATTCCAACGTGTTAGTATATCCAAAATAGGGTGAGGAAATTTTAAATTTGGATTTTTTTCAAGATATATTTTTTCAAGTTTATTAAATTTAGAGATAGAAAGTTTAAAAATTTTTTAAAAATTTCTTTTTTTTTTTAAAGTTGGATTTAGAGGTTCCAATGCAGCCATGACAGACAAATGGATAATATGGCAAGAACATTTGCACACATTATCAAAATCGTCTTTTAGTTTTAAAATTTTTAAAAATGCTAAATTATTACTAGCATTATCTAATGAAATACAAAAAAAATCAATTTCAAATTTTACTTTTAATACAGAATTAAAAATATTATAAATATTAATAGCATTATGTGCTGATTTAAAAGGAATAAAATCTAATAAATGATTAATTAATTTAAAATCATTATCAATATAATGAATGGTTATGCCCATAAAGGGTATTTTATTTGGAGAGGACCAAATGTCCATTGTTAAAGAAAATTTATAAGTAATTTTAGAAAGTACAGATTTTAAATTGATAAAAGAACTATGATAATGTTTCATAATTTCTTTTTTAAGTGTTTTTCTAGAAATTAATGTTAATGAGGGGTTGCAAAAGTTTATTAAATTTTTAAACGACTCATTTTCAACCATTGAAAAGGCTAAATTATTTTGAATAAAAAAGTCCATAATTAAATTATTTAAATTAGCTTTATTATTTACATTAATAATTAAAAATGATTTTATGGTGTTAATATTATTAGTATCAACATCATTGTCTATATTTATTAACTCGATTTGGTTTTCATTCATTATAATATCCTAAATGAATAAATAGATAAAATTGATAGATATCATATAGAAAACTTACTTCCATAATAATAAACTATAATTATAAATAACACCAATATTGATATCACAGGAATATTTGGAAGAAATAACAGATGTAATATGTTTATGAATGAAAGTAAAAAAATATACCACGATATAATTATCCACGATAAAACCAAATAATTTTATGTATTTATCTATTTTAAATTTTTAATATTGGTATTGGTATTGGTTAAAATTGTATTTAAACAATATTTCAAAACCAATATATTTAGGTAATTGGTATTGGTTAAAACAATACCAATATTTAATTATATATTGGTTTATATTGTATTGGTATTGTAAACCAATATTATATTGGTATTGGTCCCACCCCTACATGTAACCATATAAATATACATATTTTTTGAGAAAGGGATATGGGATGTGTGTGGGGAAATTTTTTTATTAGCCTAGAATTTGTGAAAACAGGATCAGAAAGGAACCTACTCCCCCCCCCCCCCCTTTACTACGCCTATATTTTAAATTGGAACAAAGCTAAAAAGAGAACATAAGAGTAGTACACCAGTTTTTATAGAATAAAGATTAATCGATGAATAAGGTCATTGTATTTTTTTTTTAAATATAGTATTATATCATGGAAATGGAATTGTATTTTTGAATTAGTCCTGATGGCTATATATTTTAATAAGTTTCTATTTATTTTTTTAGGAAAAGATTGACTGTTAAAGAATGCCTCAATCATTCCTGGATAAAAGTTATATAACAAATTACAAATATTTTGATTTAACATTATATTCTCTTTATTTAATTAGCTATAGAATTCCTAGAATTAATTTTGATTAAACTCATGATTTTAAGTTAATTATTTTTAAAAAAAGCTTCAATTCATTGCAATTTTAAAATATAGTTATCTTCTATAATAGTCTGTCCTTTTCGAAAACTTTATGATATACTTATCAAAAACGATTTAATAAAAAAGTATTGTTCGAATCATAGCCTTTTCATTATTTGATCTAATTTTATTTATTCAAAAATGTTCGAAACTATTTAAAGATAATCGAAATATTTTTAAGTATCTCATGGAACTTTTGGCTTATTTAATTTTTTAATTTTAATACATTATTTTTAATTTTTGAAAATATTTTTAAGAAATTATAATTTTATAATGGTTTTATTATTCGTACAAATACGAATAATTGATTGATTCATAAAATACTAATAAGGAATTATTCTATTCGTAAAATACGAATAAGGAATTATTTGATTCTTAGAATATGAATAAGAAATTATTTATATATTGTAATTTTGTATTTTATTTATAACCGCGATGAAACTTCATTAGTTTGATGAAGTCACATAACTCTTTTTTTATTATGCGCATAAATTATTTATCATGTTTCTTCTCTCCATTTGTAAATTAAATTAATTTTGATTGTAAATATTTTTAAAGAATTTTTTTTGGCAAACTTATTATAATTTACTATTTCTTTTTACTTGAATTACATTTTCGAAGAAGCCACCGAATTTTAAATCAATACATAATAAAATTTATGTATTATTATGCAAAAAAGAAACAATATTATATCTAATCATCTTATGCTTATAGCGTTTCCGTTTTCAATCTCTTCTGTCTTCCGGCAATTTAGTTACCATTTAGTTTACAATGTTTTCATGTTTTAAGCACTTTGATTTTAACAGCTTACAAGTTTTATTAGTTTTTTTTTAAATTTCTAACCTGTATAGAGAAAACTGCCCAAGATTACCTCCTTTGGAAAATCTTGGGTACGTTTAAGCGCCAATTTTATGAGAGGTAGGAGTTGCTCATATGGAAACTTTGGATAGAACTATATTTGGTCTATTAAAAATATATTGAAACAGTGCGATGGATATCTCTATGAGGAATCATCCATGTCAAACCTTTGGTATTTTTAATACTCATTTATAGTACCCTGTGGTAGATATATTTGACGAGAATGTTTCTATCCCCACATCATTATCGGAAGGAAATGATAACAATGATAAATAATTATAATATCAATACAATAGCCATATTGATAGCAATAACATTAGATGATTTATATAACCAATTTTCTGAGGAAAATTCTGTTTATAATCACAATAATGATAAAACTAATAAACAAATTGATTGCAATATACCGGAAGCTTGCGAATACAGAGGAATTTCTTATAGAGGGGTGGGAGGTAATTAAAAAATTTTCTAGGAGTTATTTTTGAATATCTTAAGTTTGACAAATTTATTAGGACTATTGACTGTAAAATATTAACAATTTCTAATAAATACATAAACTTATGCATAAATAAATGATAAAATATTAAGTGTATATAACCGACATATAATCACAAGAGACCCGCAGGCCCGGCCACACCGGTCGGGTCGTATTTTTAGAAACTAATATTTTAAATCGCCATATTAGCTATAAAAATTATAAATAAATATGTAATATATTTTAAAAAATCTGGGTCGGGTCTGAAAATATAAAACCTTGGTTGGGCCGAAAATTTTTTTTATAAAAAATCCGGACCTGGCCGAGTAAATGGTATCTCTGTAGATTCCTGTGAATAAATATAAAAAAATGTCTCGAAAAAATACTCTGTAAAAAAATTATCAATTTTTTAAGTATTAAAATTTGATATATAAATTTATATTTAAAAAAAATTAAATGTTGGGAATTTTAGTAAAGCTTAAATAAGAATTAGACATGCAAAAATTGGATGTTTCAATAATTTGCCTGCTTCTGAAGAATGTCTTTTTCAGACCATTGGGTTATTCCAGCGAGAACATTTATATTCTAACTCCATAAAAGCCGTTACTATCTGATAGCGTAAGCTTTATCTTGTTGGAATAACTTTTTGTAATATTTTTCTCCATGTTGGACAAAAGTTTCAGATATAATTTTGTTTATTATATTTGTCTGTTGTGAAGTGCAAGTTCCATGAGCAGCACATTGCACATATTTATCGTTGAAAATTTCCTTTTTATAAATATCTGAAGCCCATTCTGTCAATGACTAGAATTCGGATTTCATCAATATTGATTAAAAACAAAGTCATTTATATCCAATAAAATCTAAACCTTAAATATTTATATTTTGAAATATTTTAATTAAGTTTTTAGTGAAAAAGTTTCAAATGATTTTGTGAGAAATTTTAAAATGGTAGATTATATAGCGCTAAGGAAAATTTAAAATCGATAGCAATCATAGAATAAATTGATAGAGTTTTTATTTTAACTGTGAATTTATAAATAAATTTAAATTTAAATATATATGCTATTAGAGGTAGGAATTATTATAAAATATAAATTAATAATCATAAAACAGTAATATTTAAAAAATATTTTAAGCCGGTTTCTTTATTTTAGCTTGGGAAATGGGGGAATTTTCCCCCCTCTCCACCGCTGCTTACCAGCCTTATCTGGAGAAAATGATTTTATATCTTTAACCAATAGCTATCCGATAATGATTAACCTTCTACTTCAGCTTATATGTTAAACGAAGGATATTAAGGGAATCTCAATCTTATTATTAATTTTATGAGAATTTCATTTTTTTTAAAATGATAATTATAAACTGTTTTCACACCTTAAGTTAATACCCGAAAATCAAGCAAAAAGTTTGTATACAACATAAATTATCGAAATTCCCATTAGTCAGAACTCTAGTTAAAAAAATTTGTAGGAAAAATCATTAACAATAATTATTATTTATAAAAAATCACATCAGAACAAATTATCTCGATTTCTGAAAAAGATGCGAAATTTTTTTTCTCTAAAAAGAAATATAATAAAAGCCGTAATAATCCAAGCTTGTCAAAATTCTTTCCAGCAACTGCCAAAATTGGACAAATTTTATTGAAAATAATATTTTATTTTGAAATTTTAATTTGTTAAAAATGTCGAAAATTTTTACAAATATAAAGAAAAAGGAAGGAAGAGAGAGAAAACAAAAGAAAGAAAAAAGCAATATATTATATTTATATACGTAATGCTAGATAGGAAAATAAAGACCTGGAGAAAAAATATTTTTAAATTTTGTTAATATAGTAGGATATTTTTTTTATGTGCATACATTTTTCGATATTGTATCTTGATTGATTAAATATGATTATTATAAAAAAAATTATAATTTAATAAATTATTTCTTTGAAGCTATGAGCTTTCTAACACAAGCCTGTCAGAATTTATACTTCGAATAATACATAATTATATAATATGGTGTTATACTACTTTTTTTAAATAAATGACAAAACCTATACCACTGGATATCGTGAGTATCGGCCAGTGTGCACTTATCATTTTGTTATAACCCATTATATAACGTTTTTAGAGGGGCCAATAAATTTGAAAAGAGGGAAACGGTCCCGAAGCAGTTAGCATATAAGACTTCCGGGACTTCAAAATAATATGATGTGACGCCAATATAATATAACTATATTTTTTCAAAAAAATTAGGGATCTAGTCCTCTGAAATCCCTCCAATATTTGCCACTGATTACACCCAATCTTGTCTCTTTGGATAATACCCACGATATCGATAATTGCAATAATAACAATAATCATAATTTTAATGTTTCAAATATCTCGAACGAAATCCACTCTTACGGAAACGATAAAAATGGAAAACATATCGATTTGATTCTAAAGGCTGACACCCCAACTAACATTGAATTTAAGTAGTATTTAACGTTTTATCTTATGTCCTTTTTTCGATTAAAAAATGTTTACCACTGATTCAATTTAACAGCTTCTATAAAAAAATCCTCAAAAGTTTTTTGTAAACGAACCCCTCCCTGCCAAATTTATCAGACGATTAAAGTTAGTTTTTATTACGATTAAAGTTAATTATTGTTTGTTTTTATTACTATTAAATTTAATTATTTTCTTTATACAATTAAATACTATATATATAATGGACCAAGTAACAAGGCGTTAGAAGACCCAACGAGAGCAAAGGATTCCCATGAAACTTCTGAAGATGAGAACCTTGAATATAGTTTGGTGGCTCATAATACTGTGATAGGATATGATTCAGATAGAAATACTGACTTATTTAACAACGTTAATAAAACTATTCGATATTCATGGCAAGTGAGTATGTTTTTTTAAATGTTCGGAATATATATAATTAGTACGTCAAAGTAAGGATTTTAATTTTTTTTAAAAAGGTAACGTAAAGTAATGATGTTTTTTAAAGGGTAACTTAAATAATGAAAAATGTAAATATTAATTATAACGAATTAATTTTTTAGAATGTAACAACAAAGGTAACTAGTTACTTTTTTATATTAAATAATATATATATTATTTATTATCTTTATAAGATGATTTCTCAAATTTAAAATTACTATTTATTCAATATGTCACACTTACATAAAACTATCCTGATTTTTGGATGAAAACTAGCACACTTTTAGACACAAATTTTTAAAAAGTGTATTGTTAAAGTCTAATTAAAATATTAAGCTCAAATTTTATGAAAATTAATAATATTTTGCCATTTTTATATTTTCGATACAGTTAATTAAAGTGGTAAATTTTTTTTGGTCTAATTATTTTTTTGTATATTCATTTAAATTCCTTTGATTAAAATTGGTAAAAAGTTTGTATAATAAATATTTTTTATTAAAAATGATGGGTTATATAAATTATTTATAATGTAACGAGTTATTTGAAAATTTAGCTGTATCTAGTTATCTTTTAAGGATGTAACTAGCAACTGTAGCTAGTTACTTTTCAAAAGTAACTTTTAACAACACTAGTATCATCATTCGTTTTTGAAAAGTAAAGAGCATGTAGTATAGTATAACCTTTTACGAAGTCATTAGTAATAGCATGTTACTTTTTCAAATAAAATTTAGAGCGCATTTTAATTTTATAATCTCGGTTTAAATATTTTACCAATTGTTATTTTGTAGAAATCGGCAAAATTGGTTATCATTTACCTTAGGCTTTTCAATGAAATTCCCGTTGATGAGTATTTATCTTTATTCAAGGCTAACAAGGCACTATATGCCAATTTTTCGCTATTGAAATCACACCAGAAGGTACTTACGATAATGGAACAAATTGGAAAGGTAATTTTTTTATATTTAATTGCTATACTATGTGATCTCTTTAAGCTACACGCCCCTTAGATTGCGGCGGCGGCATATTAAAAAAGGAAATACTCAGCAATCTTTTATTTTATAGTATTTTTTTTATTAAAACATAAAATTATTTTTCATGAATGTATAAATATTTTATTAAATTGTTAAACAATGACAATTACGATTGTTTGGAATTTAATGTTTGCTCAGCGATTGTGGGAAAAAAACATGATCACTAGAGGAACTTTTTGCTGGGCACACGTGTTTCCCTTCATTCTTTTCGGGTACTATTTGTATTGCAATATATGGTATTTTTACTCTAGACTATTATTATGATAATATTGAAATATCGGAAATTATCATTTAAGTTACGCATATCAAATGTAATTGCACAGAATCTTGCAGCCAAATTAGAATTGAAAATCTAGACTAAGCAAAAAAGGGGTTTGCTTTCTATTAATTAGACTACTGATATCTTGAGATTGATCTTTACCAAATTGCTTTGAAAGGGGGTGAATAGTACGATATAATGAAGTGTGATTAAGATATATAAAAATATTTATACTTATAAACAAATAAGATCATTTAAAGTTAATTGATAATATAAAAAACAACTTATAAGGATTTTTTATCAATGCAATCTCAAGTCATTTAATAACGAATTAATTTGACAGTTCTGAAGTATTCATCGAACAAAATAAGCATAGATTTACTTTAACGATCTACAGTTATTAACTTTTAATTTTTAGCTTGACATATGAAACTCTTTTTTAGGTAATTTAATTTTTCAAATTTTATTTAAAAAATGATGATTAGTAGAAGCATAAATCATCCACAAGAGTACCATAAGATAGTGTTCTGATTTTTTTTGAGACAAGTTCTTCCAATGAACAAGCTTTTTTTCAATCGCTTAATATTAGATTCAAAACCATTGTAATTGTGTCCAGCAAATTATTATGCCTTTTAATTTAAAAAAAATTAAATATAAAAAATGACCGAATTTCTTTATTTCAATATTATTTTTAACTTAATTTATTTTCTATATGGTGAATTTCATATCAAATCAACAAAAAAAAGTCGATTTTCAACCCGACCCCCTTCAATTAAATTTTGTATACTGGTAGTATATACTATAACTAAGAAAAAAAATGAAATTTTACCTTCCAACACTGTTTACCCGCTAAGATATGGCCGTTTAAAGCGCGGAAAAATGGTACATTTTTGACAAAATGCACCTCATTTATTTTCAAATATCTCGAGAAATAATTAAGTTAGAAAAATAATTTAAATTTTATTTTGTAGCTTAATAAAAGTTCTTTAAAATGACAGATGGACATTTTATTAATATCGAAAACCGGATGAACCGGAAATGGCCATAGAAAAAAAGGTATTTTTTTTTCAAAATTTTTATTCTGTAGATAGATATCACACTGCTTTATATTTTTCAAAATCCTAGACTGGGATGAACATGGGTTTAGGAGTTATCACTCTTTTTATGGCTAAAATTGAACAAATTTAACATTAATATCATATTTTAATTTTATGATAGTTATGAAATAATGTTAATTTAAAAATTATGTCTAAATGATAGGCCCATATTTTTTTTTTATCTTTATAAAAAAAATTTGAGAGGTGGCTGGGATAATGAGCTATTTAAAACTTTAGTTAGATTTTATCTCGAAATTAAAATTACTTGACAAAATAATTTTAAATATTTTATTTCTACCAAAATTGAAATTCAACAATAAATTTTCCCCCATATATTCAAAATTAAAAGAAAGGCTTAATATATTATTTGACGAGAATTCTATAGATTATAAAACGTTCAAACAATGGATAGCAGTTGATCGAACTACCCTCGAAACATTGACAAAATCCGCTGACGAAATTGTAGATTATTTAATTGAATAATTAAACAATTTAATTCCTCATTTGTTTATAGCTTCACGATAATCATTAATTCGAAACTTTTTAAAATTCAATTTAAATGTTGGCGAATTCTTAGTTATTGCAAACTTTTCAGATAACTATGCATTTGTAGTGCAGAACCATGCATAAGGATTTAATCAGACCAATAATCAAGCCACTATCAACTCTTTTATAATTTATTACCGTGATAACAATATAATAAAACATGTAAATTTAGTGGTTATATCAGATTGTTTAAAGCACAAAGCATGTGCATTTTATTTATTTTAAAAATTGATCGTGAAAAAAAGATTTAATAGAGTGGCTAAAATTTATTATTTTTCTGGTGGAGCAGTAACCAATATAAAAATAAAAGGTTTCATTAATCTTTACAATCATGAAAATGATTTTGGGATAAAGGCTGAGTGGCGTTTTTTGAAACCGCACAAGGAAAACGTCCATGCGACATTTTGGGGGCCGTTACTAATCGGTTAGCAGCTCGAACAATCTTGCAACGTCCACATGAACATCACATATTGACAACAATAGATTTATTTAACTATGCAAGAAATAATATCTATGGGGTAAATTATTGTGAGCAATAATGAATATATGAACATAGAAAGTCATCTTGAAAGCAGATTTATGAGAGCAAAGAGAATTTCTGGAACACAAAGTTCCAAGCTTTTATTCCCCTAGACGAAAACAAAAGTCATAATTAATTAAAATTCCTTGGATGATTATAATATATGATATATTTTAATTATAAATTTTTGATTGTATTATATGTAATGCAATTTGAGGCAAATAAAGTTATAAATATGTTTAGAATTATTTTGTCAAGTAACTTCAAGGTAAAATTTAACTAAAGTTTTAAACAGCTCATTATCCCAGCCACCTCTCAAATTTTTTTTATAAAGATAAAAAAAAAATCAGGGCCTATCATTTAGACATAATTTTTAAATTAACATTATTTCATAACTATTCATAAAATTAAAATATGATGATATTAATTAGGGGTGTACCGATACCACTTTTTGGAGGCCGATCCGATCCGATATTTCAGATATTAAATTGATATCGGCCGATAACCGATCCTATATCATATCTAATTTTGTATTCTGCAAAGATACCGGTTTTAATTTTTTATATACTTTTTATTAGTACAACATCTATAATTTTACTATACCATAACATATGTCATTTAAATATATTATAATGGTCAGTTATAGTTTATATTCAATTCAATTGCTATTATTTATATAATATAAGTAATAACATTAATCTATTTACATAATTAGTAATAAAAAAATATATTATGAAATTTGAAATTAATATTTAAAATTAATATATCAAAGATTTCTTTTTATATCAGAGATATGTCGGCGGTGATGGGGACTGTTAATATCACTAGCATCACTAAAAACCAGGGTTGTGCATTTGACCGGTCAAATACGTTTCGGTCAATTGACCGATATTTGACCGGCCAAATATGGTCAAATACGGTCAAATGTGGTCAAATTCAAATATATTTTTTTAAAGTTAATATTAACTTTATTTTGAAGATAATAGTAAAATGAATCTATAATATTAATTTTTTAAATTCATTCAATAACTAACGTGTAGCTATCTGTATCAGAGTCTTGTTCTGATTCATATTCAATATTATCATTTTCTTTAATATTTTTTAAACAATTTTCCTGATATCTTAGATCTTAAATCGATTTCTATTTTCATAAGAATATTAATCCAAATCGACCTATTTCTTTCTAAAGAAGAAGTAGAACTAGGAATTGTTAGTCTCTTAATGGGCAGGGTAGACAAAGTTTAATCTATTAACTTGAGGTCGGAATTGATTGTTTCTGGAAATTACTACTTTCCACATATTTTGCTATATTAAACATGCTGTTTTTGCTTCTGAAATTAATTATATCACTTAAAATATTTTGGTCATCACTACCTTGTAAAATAGCTAATTCTTGAATTATATCACATACTTCATTAATTACACTACTAGTGAGTTCTCCTCTTGATATTGTGGACCCGAAAAATAAGCAAACATTGTGATCACATGTATTTACATCTTTTTTCCCTTTTTTAAACATATTTTTAATTTATTTTTCCTTTAAATTTTTTAGAGTATTTGACCGTATTTGACAGGTCAAATACTCCTCCGGTCAATTGACCGGTCAATTGACTGAATTTGACTGGTCAATTGACCGACTTGCCAACCCTGCTAAAAACAGATACTGAAGAGATTAATGAACACTTTTTTAAACAGAATGCGAAAAAAAATAACTATATTGCAGAATGTTTATTAAATAATTATTTCTATTAAAAAAATTAAACATAAAAATATATTTCGATTTTATTTATAAAAATAAATGGTTTTTTAGATATAATTTTTTTTAAATTTTGTTAAAAGCGCCATTTTATATCGGATCGGCAAATTTTATAATATTTGCCGATAACCGATATTTTAAAATGAGCGAAATATCGGCCCGATCCGATATAAAATATCGGTACATCCCTAATTAATGTTAAATTTGTTCAATTTTAGACATATTTTTTTCTTCTTTTAAGCTTTCACCTTTTCTGGTGGTAAGCTCCTTCACTTATCTATTATAATATTAATCTTGCTATCTATTTTTATCTTTGTATTTCTGATCGATTTCATTTGTATCGATCACCGGTGTATCAAGTATCTTGAACTCCCACCGGTGTATGAAATCAGTATCGACCAGATATCCTACCTGAGTATTCCCAACACGGAGTTATCAAATCGACAGATATCCCAATCCTGATCTCCCAATATTTGTATTTCTGATCGATTTCATTTGTATCGATCATCGATGTATCAGGCCAAAGTATCTTGATCTCCCCCACCGGGGCATCAAATCAATATCGACTAGATATCCCACCTGAGTATTCCTCACTGAATTATCAAATCGACAGATAACCCAATCCTGATCTCTCCCACTGGTATCATTATCGATGGATATCCCACCGGAGTATCGTTATCAAGTCCATTGTAACTTGGTAGACAGACTTGAGCTTGAACGGCCCCCGAGGTCACCATCATCCCATCATCCTAGCGCTGGCCAAGAAATCGTTATCATCTGACCCACGAGTTCAGCTGGCCTTCTTTTTGGTTTTATTGGACAAGTATCCTAGCACCCGGCTGTCCAAGCCTGTCGGTGACCGGGGTGGCATTTCCCAGCTCAGAAATTTATCATATCATATGTCTAAAGCCATACACCATCGAAGAAAAACCCGAAAATTTTTAGCTCTTTCCCAGGATTGAACCTGAGACCTTCGGTTTACAAGCCTTCATCACACACCACTGCACCACACCGGCGATCAATTTTAAACATATAAAGAGTGATAACTCCTAAACCCATTTTCATCCCAGTCTAGGATTTTGAACAAATATAAAGCAGTGTGATATCTATCTACAGAAAGAAAATTTTGAAAAAAAAATACCTGTTTTTCTATGGCCATTTCCGGTTTTACAATCCGGTTTTCGATATTAATAAAATGTCCATAATATTTATTTTTATGTCATTTTAAAGACCTTTTATTAAGCTACAAAATAAAATTTAAATTATTTTTCTAACTTAATTATTTCTCGAGATATTTGAAAATAAATGAGGTGCATTTTGTCAAAAATGTACCATTTTGCGCGCTTTAAACGGCCATATCTTAGAGGGTAAAAGGTTGGAAAGTAAAATTTCATTTTTTTAGTTATAGTATATACTACCATTATACAAAATTTAAGAAAAATTGAAGGGGGTCGGGTTGAAACCTTGGTTGATTTGATATGGATCACCATATATATTTCCTAATTATAAAATATTAAATTGGTCACGCCGATAATCCTTAAAACAGCTCAATATTATCAAATCACCTTATGCATATTTTAAAATAATTCGCCTCGGATTTAGGTTCCGATGCACAAATCTAATTCTGTGCCGCGAATATATAATTGTTTTTGGTAATTCAATATTCCCCGAGGTGATGAATTTTTTTTTAAAATGTGACTTATAAAAACCATTATTTATTTATTAATGCATCTGCAAATATTAGCTTTATAAGATTTTTTCGTTATAATTTTCTAGAAGTCGTTTTCATTCATTAAATACTTCCGGTGGGATTAAGGAAATTTAAATATTGTAGTTATAGGGAACACAATTTTTTTTTAAATCTTAATTTATTTTAGGAAACCTTATTTGCCGCTTTTCTTTGCGCATGTAAAAGTGGAAATTTACTAGCCGTTCAGGAATTATTTGCTTTGACCAGCATTGATCTCAATTCACTATCCGATGATGTAAATTTGAAAAAAAAAGAAGATTAATACAATAGGAAATTTTATAATATTCCTCGTAAATATGCAGGTTTTTCTACAACAGCTTAATAAGCCGAGTTTGGGAAGAATATATAAGCTATTTATTTTTTTCTCCCGTTTTAAAAAAAAGGAGTCTTGTTTAGAAATGACCTATACCTTGTTTGTTTTATACAACTATTTTGGGAGCTAAACATTATTAAAAATGGTCTTAAAATTTACCAATTTTATTATAGATATTGCATGCGTTGAATAAAATTTTCATTTTAAAAAATGTCCTTAAGTTACATCTCAATATATTGCAAAGGTAACCTTGCACGAAGAGTTAAATGGAACTATTTTAAGTTATTTAGAACTAGTACAACTTAAAAAAAATAAGAGTAAAGAGATGAATCATTCTTTTAAAATTTAATGCAGAACGATAATATAAATTGTTTATAATATTTTTTTAATCAATATCAAACTCAAATAATATTTTTTTCGAAATTATATAAGTACATTTATATTATATTATTTTAAGTATACCATAAAATTATGGTTATAATCCCCCCCTCACCCATTTTATTGACCATAGCTTGTTTTTATAACTATAACATTGTGATTGTAATTTTTTATATATAACGACATTTTTGTAATAGGAAGGTGAATCTGGCATAATTATGGCCATCAAATACGGATATTTGGACATTGTCAAGTTCTTGCATTCTCAAAAAATTGATATACACGCTAAAAACAAAGTATGGACTAAAAATTTATAACTTATGAATACTATCACATTCTCGTGGAGTATCAGAAACTCTATCAACTTATACCCCCCCCCCCCCCACCCCCCTCACTAAAAGTATTTGAGTTTTCAGTTTTAAAGAAAAGTAGAATTCGCAAGCTTTATACCCAAAAGTGGGTTATCGATTTTATCCGGGTTTTATTTTTATAAACTAAACGTTATCCTGGTATAATTCAGATTTCTTAAAAAAATTCGACACGATTCGGGTTTGAAAATTTTTTTATCCCACTATTTTAAAATCATATTAATTTACGGTCCTTTGGTACAGGTCTACAAGTTTCCGATTTATATATAAAAACGTCCTTTTTGTCTGTATTTTTAAAATGCGAATTACGACACAGAAAAATTCATAGCTTTTTACTACTTATTTTCATTTTTTAAATTACTAAGGTATCATAGGGGATACTTGTGAGTGAGGACTATATATTTATATTCTATAATTAAAGAGTTAAAAATTATAATAAAATTTATTAAATAACTAAAATGAATAGAACTAGAAATTCAATTTGATTATATAATTTTCCATAATAATTAGTAATCATAACCTTAATGTATCCTTATTTACTCAAAATTGCAAAAATATAATTACAGATCATTCCAATATTCAAGTAACTTGTTATGTCACTTTTAGCCTTTTTATTTAAATAAATAATATATTTAATTTTCAAATTTCTTATTATTATATATTTGTATTTTATTTAGCACGAGGAAACTTGCTTATTCTCCGCGGTAAAAAATGGGCATTTATTGATTTTGCAATTCCTTCTCGACATCGGTTGCGATGTAAATCATAAAAACAAGGTAATAGATATATATTATATCTAGAATTTGGCAATTAAATATTCGCGACTAAAATCGATTAGATGCATTGGACCTCTTTTTCTCTATTTAGTCCGATCCCCCAAAAATTAATAAAAATATTGTATTTAGAATATATACCATTTTTAAAAGTAAGTGGAAAAAATTTAAGGCATTAGAGGATAGATTAAAATTTTGGTGTTTATATTTATAAAATTATCACATGGTCCGAAAAAATTCTAATAGAATTCTGCACTAATAAAATAAATTTTAGATCTAGGTCTTGCACAATCGAATCTGAGAGATTTTTTATCCAACTGATCCTAGTGGTAGGGTTCGGACAGGCCCGTGCAAGACTAAAATATATTATAATGAATAATTAATAAAATACAATAACAGCAAAAAACAATTAACTTACTTCTTTTAAAAATAAATGATATGTATGGGGGTGTGGGAAGGAACTAACTAATCATAATTATCTTTTGTTAGATATTTAGTACAATAAAAAATTTAATTTTAAATAGAACGGCGAAACGTGTCTTCATGTAGCCATCAATTTGTGCCTGACGGATGTTGTTGAAATTATTTGTAGACATCCATCTACAGATCCTAATATTCAGGATCAAGTTCATTACATAGAAATTTCAATAATGATTTTTTAAACTTGATAATACTGTCGGAACCATAGCTATTGATGGTATTTAGAGCCCCTCTCGTCCCATGGAAATTGCCAGAAATATTTTTATTTCATTAAACAGTTTAAAGTAAAACATAATTAAAACGATCAAAAATTATATAAATTAAAACATTTCACAATCTAGTTATCGGAAATTAATAATAATGGTTGCAATATTTTTTAGAAAATATATATGATAATAAACTAGAATTTAACCTTGAGAGCAGGGATGCGAACCCGACAAAATTTTAGACCGGGTTCGGTTCGGGTTCGGTTCGGGGTATAAAAAAAAAGTTCGGGTTCGGTTCAGGGAAATATTTTTGAACCCGGGTTTGGTTCGGGTTCGGTTCGGGTTCAAGAATTTTTGAGTTGATAAAAAAAATTCTATATTTAAATCATAATAAAAAACTAGACATAAATTTGATATAAAAAATAAATTTTTTATTTTATTTATAGGCCAATATAGTTAAAAATACAAAGCATATAGTCATGTATCAATTTTAAAAATTTTATTTAGACGTATTAGCATAATATCTTCCAAGAGTTGTTCACTCATCCTCGATCTATGTGGTGAAAGAATGAATTTCAAATGTGAAAAAGATCTTTCAACGCTAACCTATGTTAAATGTATTTATATGTGAAAATATGAAAAATTAACTTGGGTTGCAGGAACAGCAAATAAGATTTTAGATAAAATATATAATTCAGGGTGTTCCAGCTTAGCAGACTCCCAAAAATGCAAAATATTTTCCTTCTTATCTAATCTTATATAATCGCTAAATCCAGTAATTATTGTTCCAATACTTTTCTCAGCAATCGTTGGCCCTCTTTTAAATATTTTCTCCTGCCTTTCTTTAAGTTATATCAATTTCTCTAAATCATCTTCTTGTTCAATAACTTCATCGGAACTAATATCATCAGATAAAATTGGCGTTGTTAAGCTTTTAATTCGTCTCCATAAATTGACAAGATGTTTTTTCGCACAAATCTTATCATCATCACTAAGTAATACCTGTAATATTTAAGGATTTATATTGTTTATATTTAAATATTTCATAAAATAACAATTTTAATATAAATCTAAAATAATTAATTTACTAAGCTTTTAATTAACCTTGTATCTTGGGCCCAGGTATATGGCAGCTAAGAGAATTTCGTTCTTTATAAACCTTTCTTCTCTGTTTTTAAGACAAGAATATAGTAATTGAGCAAAATGGTTTGGATTTTTTTCCAGTTCGATGCAGCATCTTAACCATGCTGCATAAAAATCTGTCAGTGTTAACTGTTCAGATTGGAATTGTTTGGTTGCGATTTTTAGCGGTTTTAAAATTTCAACAATCGTTATTATCTCTTTCCAATCTTCAGTCAATAAATAATCAGATTGCTCTGTAAAAAAATCTTCGATATTGGGTTTTAGTAAAATCAGCCTTTCTAACATATCATGGGTTGAATGCCATCTGTGGCAATCTAACACAGGCTTAGGGAGTTTCATATTTTTTAATAACTTTTGGTAAGTGGGATGTCTTAATTTTAAATTTAGGCTCCTAGCTTTTGCAATGGTTTCCACAATAGGTGATAATTTTATAGCATCTTGAAGTGCCAGCTGAAGTGTGTGCACACCGTACACTATAAATCGGATAGGATATAATAGTTGATAAAAAAGTATTTTGTATATCATCAATATCATATTTATATACATTTACATCCATATTTTCCTCATCTGCTGATTCACTCCTTATATCATAATCAGTTTCAGGTTGCAGGAGCTTTATAGCTCTTAAAAATGCAACCATTATCAGAAGTAATTGTGTATATTTGTTGAATATTAATTTTAAATTTTAGTAAAGTTTTTAATATATTCTCTTTTATATATTCTCCTGTACATCTCTCTTTCAGCTCTACAATTCCAAGAGCCTCAAATTTATAATGGACTTTGATATAAATTGAATATTTACACCAAGAATTGACCTATCTAGTCGTTGAACTGCATCAACTTTTAAACTTATTAATTTTCCTTCTACCTCTCTCGATATTTTGTCTCTAATTGATTGGGCTGTTTTATTAATAGTTCTGGATAAATTTTCTTTGTTTATAACTAAATTGAGCCCAGATAGGAGTGGATTTATAATTCTTTGAAATCCCGAATCTTCAATAATTGATAAAGGCCGGCCATTTACAGTAACAAGTTCTAATATAGAACTCATCAAATCATTAGATGATATATTTATACTTATATGCTTTTTTGGAAAAAAGGTTTCTATATTAATTTTAGGTTTTTTTGCCAATAACAATTCTTGATATTTGGTTTTTTCATTTAAATAATTTAAATATTCATTGTTGTGATTTCTTTCCAGGTGTCTTTCTAAATTTGACAAGTGATTACCAGACATTTTTACTTTGCAATATGAACATATTGATTTTTTTTTCTATTTTATTAAGGGTAAAATGCTTATCAAATATGACTTTATCTTTAATCTTAAATCTATAAAAAGAGAACAATTTTTTTAAATAGCAATGATTTCAGAATTAAAAAAGAGATATTTATAAATTTAATTTCATTTATAATATGCACTTCATTAATATCTTGTAAAAATTAAACTGAACCAAAAATAAATGATTAGCATATATAAATTTTAAAATCATTTTAATAAGTTCACAAAAACTGCCCTACATTTAACAATTTTTAAGTTAGATGTTTAGAATTTTTTAAATTAACAATATAATAATTTTTACTTTGATTTGTTAACCATTTTCTTCTAATTAATAATCTTTAAGAATAATAAGATAAAAATTTAAAAATAAATGGCGTAAATTAATTCAATTGTTTAAAATTTTTTAACACTCCAAAAGGAATCGAGAATAAATTTAAAAATGGCATAAATGAATTAAATTGTTTAAAATTTATTAAGACTTCATTTAATTGGAAATTTGAAAATATAATATTTGTATTTACATATATTAATATATGATTTTAAATAATACACTGAACCCGATTGAACCCGGGTTCAAATAAAATTCTTGGGTTCGGTTCGGGGTTTTGGAAATTTTATAAATGGGGTTCAGGTTCGGTTCGGGTTCAGAGTTTTTTTCTAAAAACCCGGGTTCACTTCTCCGGGTTCGGGTTCGGTTCGAATCCCTGCTTGAGAGTTTGTTTTGTATACAAGCAATTTTAGAATTCGGGAAAAAGATTATACCCCTTTCCCATAAGACCCTTCAAGTGAGATTATCGCAATCTAGAGTGCCATTTTTAACTTCTAAATTAATTTAAAAAAAACTATTGTTCAATTGATGACCTTTTTTTGTGGTTTAAAAAAAAGAACCTCTCCCGGGTAACCTTATTTAAATTCTTCATTTTATAATTGATAAGGTTAACATTTATAATGGTAATATTTTTAAAATGTATAAAACAGTTAGGTGATTCACCGTTGCATTTAGCTGTGTGGCACGATTTGGTATCTATTGTCCACATTTTGTGTTGCAACTCCGCCATTAATATCAATATTCAAAACAAGGTTGTTTTAATTAATAATTTATTCAGATAACTAACTAAAGAAAGAAAGATTTTTTTATCAATCATTTTAAAACTACTATCCCCCCCCCTTCGGCAATTTTAACCTTAAATTGATTTGAAGACTTAATTTATTTTTAATTTCGTCCCCTTCCACATTTGTTGCAATGTCTTGAAAAAGTGATGGTTTATGTGTTATGTGAAATAATTTAGTGCATATACGTGCTGATCATCAATATAATGTGATAAATAACGATAAAAACCCCGAAATTTTTAGTTTTAATTCTATCATTAACCATAGACATATAACATGTTGGTCACTTATTTAGTATACTCTTCAAAATGTTATATTAAATGAGGACCCTTATTTTTTTCACACTAGTTTTCCATCTTCATTTAAAGATTCACCTTAAATAATTTATTACAAAATATCTTTTGATACTACATTGCAAAGAAAGGAGAAACGCCATTTCATATATCAGCCTCGCAAATTAACGGGTCCGCATGTCTCAAAAGATTGCAAGAAGCTCAAATCAGTTCTGATTCTTTGAATATTGGTTGTACGGAATATGGTTTTACTCCTCTTCATTGTGCTATAGCTAAACTCAACATCACTTGCGCGCTTATGTTAATAGACGCGGGTTGCACGTTGGACAGACCAGATCGGGTATTTCTATTAGAGATATGCAGGCCGGGCCGGATCTATTTAAAAAAAATAATTTCTGTTCGGGCTGGGGACTTAAATTTTTTTAAAAAAGTTCAGGCCGGGTCCGGTTAAAATTTTTAAATAGGATATCATTACAATCAAATAAATTGATATATTTTAAAATTCTTGCAAGAAACCAGGCGCTAATAATTTTTATTTGTAGAATATTTTTCTTACAAAAAAAAAAGTTAAATTTTTCTATATTTAAATGAATTCGGACCGGGCCGGACGGACAAAAATTTTTTATTTCGGACCAAGCTTTTCGGGACAAATAAAAAAATTTCGGGCCAGGCCGGGCTTGAAAAATATGGCCCAATGTAAATTACTAATTTCAATAGTTAATTTTGTGATTATATTTTATTTTACTAATTGTATATAATATACAATATGTAAAAGATAAAGATAAATTTTTTATCGATATGTTTTTTGTTTAAAATATATAGAATGGTAATATGCCAATTCATTTGGCTTGTAAAGAAGGTCTGCTTATAGTCATTCAAACATTGTGCGCTTATGGGTGCAAAGTCAACGTCCCGAATTTCGTATTCGATTTTTATTTTATTATAAAATTTTTAAACAAAAAAGATATCCCCTAATAACGAAACCTGGGCAGAAATTTGAAATTGTTTAGTTGAATATTTTGCGAACATGGACCATCAGCAACAAAACCATTTCAAATTTTTGAACCCGAGTTCCAGAAACCTTTGATTTAACAATTTATATACAATAATTTTATATGAATAGTTTAAAAGTTGTATAACATAATCAGTTCATCGCTAGCTCGTGCTAAAAGGTCAAATTGTTTTATAGGTGCTCATTAGAAAATATTTTAAAGGACCTCTTAAATTTCACACTTGCTCCCTCCCCCTCACCTTAGCAGCGTTATTGATTTGTTCACCTAAAAAATTGTTGCATTATTTATTTATAATAATATATCTAATTTTAAGAAATCTTTTAGATAATTTTTTAAGATATATAAACATTCTTTTTAATATAAAATTCGGCAGAAAGGTTTCTATCCCATACATATAGCGGCTCGATACGGAAAACTAGAAATTTGTAGATGCCTCTGTTTAGCTTGTTGTGATATTTCTGTTAGAATAGGCCTTATTTGCAACTCATTTACTTCGACCATTGACAATGTACGTAAATTCAAAACTACATAAAACAAAGGAATAAAATAAAAAAATGAATGAAACAAATATTCAACATGTATATAAACTCTTATATTAAATTGATATAGGCCCATATGTCATTGAACGCTTGTGAGTTAGCCATAAGTTATGGACATCAAAAGGTTGCCGACCTTTTGGGGAAATTGATGGAACACGATACAGAAACCCTAGATGACGTTAAGGAAACTAAGAACGGATGCAACTCCATCAAACATAGATTGTCCTTCAAGGCAGTGAAGAAAATACGTAAGATATTTATAACATCTAATTTTCTCATCCTTGAAAAAAATTAAATTTTTGACTCAAGTGATAAGTGCTATATCAAATTATTTGGGATAAAAATATTACTAGGGCTTCTCTATTGTAAAGAAGATTAAATTTAAAAAGTGGTAATTTTCAAACTGCATTTATAATTTTCATAAAAATAGTTGAAGTGTAATAAATTATATTAATGATAAGATAAAAATAAAATGAATGAAATAAATTAAAGAGTTGAATTATAGGAATGTATTATATATACTATTTCTTATTATGTTCAAATTAGCCAACTTGAACAATCGACCTATAAAATCTAATTCCACTTCATACCCTCGCGCTCATTCCATACATGCCCGATTTATTAGTCAATTACTACCACTCACCGATGATTCTAGCGAAGATGGTTACACACTAAATCTTATTTATTTTTTTATTAAATATTTTTTTTTAAATAATAGATTATTATAAAGCTGCCTTTTCTTGGAACATTTCTTTTGATAGCCTTAGTTTATAAATATTGTATAATTTTTGTTTGGCAGAAGTTTATTATAAATATCTTCTTACCGTTTATTTCGAACAGTTTTCAAAACATCACCATAAATACATGAGTATATCACGGACATCGCTGGTTCTATTTTAGGCGTCCTAAATATTTTTCTAGATTTAAGCGTATTCAAGAAAACTGTATCTTTTAGGAGTTACTCAAATTAAACTCATGCTTGTTGAGAATACTATTATCCTTCCGTAAGTCATGTTACTTACTGCTTGATACATGAGTCATTAAAGCGATGTTCAACTGTATAGTGGGCACTTTTGTAAAAAAAATTGAAGATATGAAAGATGACCACAGAACTGAAATGCCCCCTCGAGCTTTATTCTCTCGTGATTTATGTATTATAAAACAATGATATTATGCATTCTTTCAGGTTTCGTTACTTCTCTAAAATCGGAATTTAATAATCGTATCAAGCTTAAAATCTTGGGGGAACCTGGTTCCGGAAAAACCGCTTTTACACTTAGATTAAGATCCCCTCCCGCATTTTTAGCCAATCTTTCACCTGTCTCTTCTCCTTTGAGACGCCTATCCCGCAATAGCCGGAAAAATCTATCAAATTACTCCTTCGCTAAATACAAAAATAATGAGGAGAATTTGAGCTATGGGGATGGAAAAGATATTTGCGAAGCGAATGGACCAAGTGGGCGAGGGGCAACTAATATTGTTAGATCAGCGTCCCAAGGTATAATTTATATAAAATTCTATTCTCTAATAAATTCTTAGAATATCATATTGGGTATTTTATTACAATTTTTATTTATTGCATTTTACCTTGTAAAGTTAATTAAAATTTGTATTTCAACCAATTAAATTAGTTAAAAATGATATGATTTGGTAGAATATTTTACAGATTTGAAATAATTCACTTAAAGTTTAGGTTGATATTTTAAAAATTTGATTATAATAATAGAGGTTTTGGTTAAAATACCAAAGACAAATTTTAACTACAATTTTTTGACAACTTTTTAATACACATTATTTTGGATTTTTTATATAAAAATAAAATTTATTATTTAAAAAAACATATAACATATCCATCCAATAAGTCAATTATCGCTTCAAAATCGATCTGCGCTCTAACCCTAACTCAAATGCATTAGAGACTAAAAAAAGGAGGTCTTTCTACAACCGGCTGAGACAAGGTTCCTTCTCTCACAATCATGAAAATAACATCAATAACCCAAATAACAATTTATTTTCGAAATTAGCCAATAATCCTATCACTAATTTTTACAATCACCATTATCGTGGGAGCAGCTGTGAAGACATTAAAAATTACATACCGACTCAAGGGATATTTGTTCAAAACATTAACTTACCCGGTATATATATAGATATAAATAAAATTTATATTCCCAAATTTATCAATGAGTTCAATCAACTAACAACCATAACTTTAGAGCGATATCTTTTTGATTATTTAATCAAAATGTAATGAACTTTTGACTTTTACAACTGAGATTCTATTTCTAGTTTTTGAATTTTTTAAAAATTACTTTATTTTGTTTTTTTATTCCTCGCTTCATTTTATTGATTAAAAACAGATTAAAACAGGTATATGAAATATTGCTGTTCATTTAGCTGCTCGTTATAATCTTTTGTTCAAAATGAATCAATGTATTTTGACGCTAAATGACATATGCTATAAATCTAAAGTATTTTCTTTAGATTTTGCCTATATAGATATGCCTTTTGTTTATGATTGAGCCAATTTTATTTTCATATATATGCGACTACGTTTCCCCCTATTCAGTGATTAATTCATAACCAATTAAACCCCCATTTATAGAGAATCTGAACCAATTTCAGTTATTGAATCAGTTCAATAATTTAATAAATGTTAAATAATGTAATTTATTGAAACTAAATTTAATATTAAAATATTTAAAATTCCTCAAAGGATTCCAAAATTTAGATAATCACTACTAAATAACATTAAGAATATTATTTTTATTCGTCGAAATTAATAATGAATGTATAAATTATTCTATTCGAATTATTCTAAATAATAAAACGATATAACAAACTTATGACGTTTCAATTCCATTTAAAACTAGAAAACAATTTTGTTGATAAGACTTCCTATATAAAAGTTTTAGAAAATTAGAAATGAATCGAGTATTTCAATACCGTAAAACTTTAAGGGGACTAAAAAAATTTGTTAACTAGTGAATGTTAACTATCGTATATTTTTAATTTAAATGAAGACAATTTTTTTATATAATTCTATAGCAATTAGGATTCAGCCTTTATTTTTGTTAAAGAAACAGCATCTATATTTATTGATAATGATAATCATATTAAAAACATTGGAAATGAAAATTGATGAAAAGGTGCAGGAGAATACAGTGCTTGGGATTTTTCGGGCAACCCCATATATAGACAGGTATACGATCATTTCATAGGGGATATTCACAGCGTTCACGCGATAGTTTTCGATGCCAGCCAATCCCTTGCTTGTATACTCAAGGACATATTCTATTGGTGCGATTTTTTAAGGGCTCGTTTTAATAATAACATCGCCGACCAGTATTTGAAGGATAGGGAAGGGAATTCGTTAACCAGAAATTTATTGAGTAATTTGTATAAATACGTTTTTCCGCCTTAACAGGCGAGTTATTCTATTCTATACAATGTTTCTTTGTATTAATCTTTGATGAATATTTTCAAAAAATTTAAATATTATGCAATTTTTTATGAATAAAAACGATAATTATATTTCTAAAATCTTAACATTTTATTTTATACAGAATATCTTTTTACACTTTACTTCTCAAGTAGATTTTTTTAAAGACCTTATTTGAATATTTCTTACAACCCCACCTTCCAGATCACCAAGGACGTAATCGAAAACGGATCCCCTTGATAATAATAGGCACTCGGCTGGACAAATTGCTTGCTCCGGCCACAATTCCTTCCTTAGAGATTTTGAGGAAACAAATTTTATCCCGGATCAACCAATCCATACCTCGCCTTATCCTTGATTTCGATCTGTTTCCAAAAATATTCTTTTTGAATTGCAAAATCGTCCCTGACATTACTTTGAATAATAATTGTGGCACGATGAACGCGAATTTTAATGGTAATTCCTCTTCTGCCAATAGCAACTACAATTGTAAAAGTAACAATCAGAACGATGGGGACTATAATCATAATGGCAACCAAGAGGAACACTGCTTTTCAAGTCTTAACAATACGGTAGCTAATGGGCTCATAGTTGACAATTTCATCAATACTGAATGGTTAGAACTCATGGAGTACCTGGAGCACTCTAAATATCAGATCGTTCAGGCAAGACTAATGCTATTAAAAATGTTAAAAAATATAGGTGAAGGGGTTGAAGTGCTTAGGGATTCACTTGTAATAAATAAAATTTACTTTGTTCTAAAATATAAATTAATTTCAAACTTCCCATTTTTTTTTAGAAACTGCCAAAAGCTACCGGTCTTTTACAAAACACACTATCGGCTTTGAATTCTTGGAGAAAACTTTACGGTAATTGTCCCGTTATGCCCTGGCCCTTATTCATTGAACACATTCATCAGTATGTCAATTGTTTAGCAAGTTTTGATCATTTGAAAGAACTCATAACTCAACTCCAATTTATGGGAGAGGTATTTAATTTATTATCCCCCTCCCAGATAAATTAATTATTTGATTAGATACAATTTAAATTTTTTATAATTACAAATTAGTCATTTACTACAAACAGTATTTATCTTTTACTATCATAATATATATCAGAGACCTACAGAGGCACCATTTGCACGGCCCGGCCCGGTTTTTAATTTTTCAGGCCCGGCCCGGATATTTTTTAAAAATTTTTTTACGGCCCGGCCCGGATTTATAGATTTAAGGCCCGGCCCGGCCTGGATAAATTTAAAAAAAATTTTTTACGGCCCGGCCCGGATTTAAAAATTTCAGGCCCGGTTCGGAATTTTTTAAAATTATATTCGACCTGGTATATACAAAAATTCACCTATGAGGTATTTTACCAAATTTTTCAGCGAGTATTATCGCTTATTATTTAAAAAATACATGAAAAAAGCTAATATTTTGAGAATATTATATTGAATTTTTAAAAATTATAAAACTGTTATTTATAAAAATGGATATTTTGAGCATATACTATATTTTTTGCATTTATAAAAATAAAACTAATATTCATAAAAATGGTAATAATATTTTGAGCATATACTATATTTTATATTGCATTTAAAAAAAATAAAACTAATATTTAATTTATAAAAATGGAAAATATTGTGAGAATATAATATATTGTATTTAATTTACTATTTAATTTATAAAATAAAAATAAATCGCTATTTAAAAAAATGCATGTATAATAAATAGTATTTTGAAAATATAATCTAATTGCACAATATTAATATAATTTATTTTATAATTTTTAAATATTTTATATTACATTTATAGGTTGGTTTTTCAGGTGTAAAAAATATTTATTAATTTTCATGGATTTACCATCACATTTATGTCTTTTTAGATGTGATGTATCATGTTTATAATTATAAGATAATATACTTGAACTATTCTTACATTGTACGTAGCCAATGTTTTTTTTATTTTCATCTAAGATGATGTTAAATTTAGCCCATATTTCAGATTTTAAATTATTATTTGTATTTCTAAAAGAATAAATATTATTTTTTTTAATTTTATTAATTATATCATTAGTATTTTGTGCCATGATATTCCTTTATTTGATTGTTTTGGTAAATATTCTAAAAATTTAGATATGAATTATAAAAAATATATTATTAATACTTGAATATTGGGGCTTATTTAAGATATTCCTTTATTTGATTGTTTTGATAAAATATGTTGTAAAAATTTAGATATGAATTATAAAAAAATATATTAATACTTTGAATAAATTTGCAGGAAATTAATAATTAGATCGATCTGTGGGTGTTAGGTGTGTTAACCATTACCCAATATTATATTTATAATATAATCTTATAACCATTAACTCATAATGTTAAAATTTTATAAAAAATATTAAGGCCCGGCCCGGCCCGGGTTTATCTTAGGCCCGGCCCGGATATATTTAAAAATATTTTTTAGGCCCGGCCCGGATATATTTTAAAAAATTTTAGGCCCGGCCCGGGTTTATTTAAAAAATTTAAAATACGGGCCGGGTATAGGGCCGGGCCTGCAGGTTCAGGTCTCTGATATATATCAAGGACCTTCATAGGCACCATTAGCACGACCTTTTCAAAAATAATTTTTCGGCCTATCCTGGTTTTATATTTTCAGGCCCGGCCCGGATTTTTTTAATAGATATTATATTTATTTTAAATTTTTATAGCTAATAATGTCGATTTTAAATATACGCGGGTATAGGCCTGGCCCGATCGGGTATTTTAAAAAAAATTGAAGCATGGCCAGGTATATTTAAAAAAATTAAAACACCGCCCGACATTGGCTGGTCTGCAGGTCTCTGATATATACATATATATATAGTGAATTCCATGCAAAAAATACTTTCAACTCAACTCCTTCAAATTTTTCTAAAAATTTTACAAGAGTTTGTATATATTATAACTAAGAAAGAAAGAAAAATTTAGCTTCCAACTCAAACAGCGGAAATGGGTTTCTAAATGTCGAAAAAAATGGAGCATTCTGGGCAAAATTCACTCCTTTTAGTTTTAGATATCTTTGGATATAATTGAGCTAGAAATTTAAATTTCTTTATATAGTCTATATAGGATTAATTGTTAAATGTGCAAGTTTTCAAGTTGGGCCAAGCTCATGTTTAGGGAATATGGCATTTTAATTATTATTCTATTACAAATATCCTTTATAAATTTATGATATTAATCAATAATTGTAACATGAGTCAAAAGCTATCAATTATTTTATGTTTAATATTTAAATAGTTATTAAGATCTGGAAAAGGTTTTATTTTGGAGGGGGTGGGGGTAATTTTTTTGATGAATTGAATTTCTTTCATAAAAATATTTACAAAATACAAATCAATTTTCCATTATCGATTTATTGAAGACAAAATTTAATTTTTATATATTGTATTAAATAATTTTCACAATATGAATATAATTTAACTTTAATTCAATTTTCCACATGCATAAAAACACGAAACTTTTGTATTCTGGGAATTGGCCTTTGGAACAAGATATTTTTCATATTCATCTTCCTTATGTGAATTAATTCTGGTGTTTGCTTTGTAAAATTTAATGAATCTAAAGGTGTTTAATATTTTTATTCTCACAAGGGCGAACTCTTGCTTTTTGATTTAAAATAACCAGACATTTTAGTTTAAAATAAATTAAAAAATTTGGTCTTAAATCTGCAAATTTATTCAAATTTACTTTATATCAATATTGGTTTCTTTAAAATTAGAATATAATGAGTCTTTACTTCAATTGGCACTTCTCTCCTTTAACTAAATAGTTATCAGTCATTATACCACTGCTATAGTCTGAATTAAAAAAATTTCCAATAATATCTATAATATAATTTCGAAAAACACTCCCAAGCTCTATATTATTTGGATTGAATTAAACACTCTTTAATGACGCTTCTAGCTCAATTATATCCAAAGATATCTAAAATTAAAGGGAGCGCATTTTGCCCAAAATGCCCTATTTTTCGACCCTTAGAGACCCGTATCTCTGCAGCTGTTTGTAGTTGGAGGCTAAAAAAAATTTTTTTAGTTATAGAATGCAAAATCTAATGGAGTCTGATTGTAACTCATTTTGATTTGTCATGGATTTCATCATATATTTAATAATACATAATATACGTTTGAATTGTAAAAATAGACTCCAATTATTAAGACAGAATATATTATGAAATTATTGATTTTTTTGTTATGCTTTAAAAAAACCAGTAATAACTATTAATTCCTTTAAACTTTTTTATAGGGCTGTATCGATATTAAATATCGGTTTCGGTTCGGCGCCTAAGTGAAAATTCTAATAAAACGCTTAAAAAAATTTAAACTACTTATTAAACAATAAGAATTTTTTAATTTTAATATAATTTTTATTAAAATCATATTTTAATCGTAACTCTCGATCGTTGATTATTTTATAATATATATATAAAAAATTTAAACCGATTATCAATTTAGCCAAGTAATATTTCCAACCACACTTTTATATAACTTGATTATTTTTCAAATGCACAGGTCCTATATATAAAGTGTCCTAGCAAGAGGGATCTTGTGGTTATGGATCCAGCATGGTTATGTTCCGACATTATAGGAAAGTTATTTGTCTATCAAAATGATCAAATAGATAATTACGTAGTTCCGCGACTGAACATCGACGAGATCGCATATGCCTTTCGCGAATTCGATATAGTCGAACTTTTGCCTCTCCTCGAAGCTTTACAACTATGCACGCAGTACCAAAATTCGACCTATTTTGTAGATTATAACCAAGATCATCGAAATAAGCCAGAACAAAATAGAGTAGATCGCAAAGAATCGACGATCGAATATGAGTTTAACTGTTTAAATAGTCAGGTATTTGGCCGACTCATCAATCAAGGGCTCTGTAGCGACGTCATGACGAGTTTGTTAAGAAATATATGATACTTTTAACTTTTTGATCAATTACTTATTGTGTAAAATGGTTTTTTGAAAATTAAACAATAAATATACTATTTCCTATATTATGAGAAGCCGTATCAATTAGAAGTCTGCATATGGCAAAATTTCAAACCCAACCCGGTTCGGTTGGAATTTAGTTTTTGCCCGGCCCGACTCGGTTTTTTTAAAAATTCAAAGCAAAATTCAAGTTTTTGATTACATAACATTTATCAGATTTTTTTTTTCAGATATCCAATGTTGTTACCATAAACACTCATATTCCTTAATTTTTTTTAATATGCACAAATTTTAAAGTGACTAACATGGTGGCCATTTCATGATATTACCAGTATCTTCCTAATTTGGCCAATTAAGGATCGCATTTGAGTGAACATTTTATAAAGTTTACTTTATATATTAATCGTTCAAACACCTATTATAGATATTCATATTATTTATTTTTTTTTAAAATAAGAATTTTGTCTGCCAGCATTTTCTTATCCACTTAAAAATCTGGGTGAAATGCTGTACGGCGGTTACAGAATATTGCCAGTCATTTCAGATAACGTAAAGTGCTTTCAAACCAATAACACGCAGTTACTGGATATATTCCCAAGGATTCAAAATCGGTTCCGATCTATTCTTCAAGAACACGCTGACGAAGAACACAATGGATTATTACAGTAAAGGTCTTCTTTACAAATATTAGTCACTAAATTGTAAATTACCATTTTATCCCCGAAAAATATATTATTTTTATAATTTTAAACAAAAACCAATTCGTAGTTTTATTTTCAAATTCAAGGAAAGAATGAAAGGAAAATTATATTTTTTTTTCTACCCAACTTATATTTGGGCATTATGTTTTTGATTTCTAATAGCTGTTTCATTTTCCAATATTTTTGCAATTTTTATTATATAACTTTAACTGTATGATTATAAATATATTGCTATTTTTTATTGATCAGATATGCTACGGGGTCAAAGTTAATCAGCGATACTTTAGAATGTTTGGTAAATATCATCCCTTTACCCAATTATAATCTAGCAACTGATAAATTTGTTATATACGAAAAGAACTCCGATCCTAACAACACTGAGTAAATTTTTAACGAATTGAATGATACAAAAATTGATTATTTATATACAATATGGCCAATCCTTATTTAGTGTATGAACAAGCAATTTTGATTGGCTGTTATATGCTATTGGTTTTTAAAATTAAATATGGGCTATTAAAGAATAGAAAAAATTTTTGTATTCATTTTTTAATTTATTTTATTTTAATGGCAATTCAAATATTTTCTCATCCTATTGTTTTTTAAATTAGTTCCAGTGACGTCGTATATTGCTTAGACATACTAGCCAAAGGTCCCGCTAACATAAATTCGACCCTATTTTACTTTTTAAACGATGTGGTAGATATCGTAGAGGACGTCACCAGTTCAGCACTTCCTTCCACTCCTTTTAGAAGATCTGTGTTTGACCCAATATCTTTGAAAAAATTTTTTTTTTCTAGGCCTGAAAATAGCGGAAATTATGCCAAAAATTATTCGTCATGTTCCCAAGATTATCATACTGATAGTACGTATCGACTAGATTTAGATTGTGAAGAGAATAATCCGGAGTTACGTAAAAAAATATTTAATATCTACTTAGCCATTCCTTGCTATTCGGCTAAAGATCTCTATCAGTCACACTTGTCAATTTCCAGGGGCGCTTTAGGAGATGTGATTAAGGATGATAAAGGTAATATCTTATTTTATTCTTGTTATTTTCATTTTTGGTCCATTTTGAATTTTAACATTCTGATCAATTTTGCACAAGTGCAACTTTTAAAAAACACCATATCATTAACATTTATGAGAACTAAAGTTTATTACATAATAAATATACAATTAAAATTGCCTCTTTCTTACATCCTTTGGATGAAGCCTATAATAATCAGGCAGAATATCGAACCGAATCTCGAAAACCGAACCGTGCCTATATAATTTAGTATATTGTTTAATTAACCTGGATTGAACCTTTTTTTTTGAAAAAATTGAAGGAGCTAATCGAACCTTTGTAAACCTGGCAATCAAGGTTCATATAGATTTTTATTTTATGACGTAATTTTGTATCTTATCTCCTAGCAAAATTTATCTCTGGGCGATATTGAATTATTATGTAATTTGTTTTTTTTAAAACAATTATGCATTATGTAGTTTGTTATTAATATACTTTTATATACTCTATATATTATATTAATAATTAGAGCTGTGCCGATCCACAAATTTTTTACAATAGCATCCGATAATACTAAAAAACCCGATCCGATATTTTTAATAATTTTTATATACCATCTATCTTCGTACCTAATTTTTTACCAAAAATTGAGTACCCAAACGTCAATATTTTGCCAACAGTTTTTTCGAGGTTTAGGTAATAATATTATTAAATCTAGCCATTTTAAAAACTCGACTAAGTTTAACTACATTACAATGTAATAAAAATTATCTTTCTATTTAAAAAAAACCAATTAATTTTCATAAATGATTAAATGTATTTCGTTTTTTATTATTCTCCGTTAATAAATTAAAATATTTAGTCAATTTAAATTTTACCTAAGTCTCGAAATTTTGCCAATGGAAATTCAAACTTTTCTATCATCTGAGCAATAGCAATAAATTTGGACTAATTTACTGTGGGCTAAAATCTTGAATAACCGTTTTTAAAAATTGACTGAATCGAACCGTTTAACAACACTAGCTTGAATGTGACTCATTCGATATTTTAAAATAATTTTCTTGTTGCAGATAATATAACAAAAAATAGTATGCAATTTTTAACTATTTTTTTAAACTTTACAATAAATAAATTATATTTTAGTTCCTTTCATTAATTTATTATTATGAGATTATTATAAAATAAATAATTATTAAATCCAATTATAAAATAGTCAATAATAATAAAAATATCGGATCAAATCGGTTTTTAAAAATTTATCGGTCAAATCCGATATTTTTAAAAGCACAAAATATTGGTGCCGATACGATATTTAATATCGTCACAAACGAATATGAATCGAATAGTACATTATTAATGAATCAAGTAATTTACTATTCATATTCGTACTAATAATAAAATTTTCTATTTGTATTCGCTTCGAATAATTCATTTTTTTAATATAAAATAATTCATACTAAAATATATTGACGAGAATTTTTATTACATATCTAATTTTAAATAGATAAAATTATTATAATAATCTGATGATTAATAACATCCAATCAAATTATTAACTAAATTAAAATCCTTTTTAATTTTATTTATAATGCCAGGCCTAATATTTAAAACAAATAGTTTTCTTATTGTTTCTTCTTTATAAGATATGCGATTTTTTGTCAGCAAATCACCTCCAACTGAGAAATGTTTTCACAAGCAATTGACATATTATTCACATCACTTGGATTGACTGGTTATCAATAGAAATGAGAAATGATTAAATTATATTTAAAATCATATCAATAATCATTCCGAATAATTTGATGCAAAAGAATATTTATTCGAATTCATTTTATTCGAATTAAATATGATTCGTCATAAAATAGGCCTAATGTATAATGATATATGATTTACTTTCATCTCGACATAATTATTCCGACTCAGATGACAGAATCCTTATTGCAAATGAAAGAAAATCACAAAAATCAAAATACGCTTACAAAACAAAACCGGAACTATTCATAGGTATCATTATAAATTCTTTTAATGGCATCGAACGGAATAAGAAAACCGATATTCTTGCTTATGGAAAGGAATAAAATTAGAGCAACCCTAACTCTTCTATTAGCCACAGTAGCCAAGTCTGTTCCAGCATCGTAAATAAGAGCATTCAGGATTAAAATATATTCTATCACCACGATCGAACAAATAATATATTCAATTTAGATGATATATTTTAATAAATTTTGGGTTAACTATGAATTGTGTTTTATTTTTCTTATTCCTCTATATTAATCATAAAATAAGATTTAAATTAATTACAGAGTTATATGAGAGTATACTGTAAAAAAAAATACTGAATTTATGAATTTCCATTAAAGGTTTTTTAGCCCAACCTAAACCTTTATAAAATTTAATTCCTTCCTAACCCAAACCTATATAATTTTTTTCTTCATGGAACTTGAACCGAACCTATATATCAAAATGTTCAACACTATGTATATTCAAGTGACCGAATATGTAATTTATTTGTCGTTATTTATGTACTTTATTAAAATTTAAAAAATTTTTTTTTTAAATTATGAATTTTAGTTTTATATCTTATAATCTATTGGATTTTATTTTTAAATTTAATAAGTTTTTTTTTGCAGGTTTGTGGTTCCAGAATTGTTCAAAGAAGTACACGGATATTAATTTACCCATTAATCATCTTAAAACTAATATTAACCAATCTGCTAACATTAATGACAAGCCTTTTGAAGCTAATGAACTCGAGATTTATAATGGTATCGACAATAAAGTCTGCCTAAGCAACAGCCCTGATGATCTTAACTTTGACTCTCGCCACGATTGGAATGACTCTTACAGCATTTATAACACTGTAGACTTTGTAAGTACGGAAAACGACTCTACCATTTATGATACCCACCATTCTTTAAATATAGATAGAAAAAATGATCGGGATAGCGTAATAACCAAAAATGATATCCAAACCTCTTATGACAAAGATCACTACAAAATAAAAATATCAGAATCTGCACCTATAAATAACGAGGGTAGCCACAAAATCTTAAAAGTTAATATTAATTCAAACGATGAATATAACCTCGAGTCTTCCAATGAGCAAACAAATCATACGACACTACTTTCTCGATCTTGCTGGAACTCTCGCGATATACAATCCATCATAACGCCTTGGTGGGAATTACCATTTTTCTCGAATCATTTCTCAAATTTTCCAACCCCATGTTACCTGACCGGAAATGAATGTGAATACCAGTACCCCAATATAGTTAAAAGACTATGTTTTGAATTGGATATTGCTGACCCTTTAGGAAAAGATTGGTGCCTATTCGCAGTGTCCTTAGGACTGGCCAGCATATTGCCAATATTAGACTCCTGTAGGCACAATGGTATATCGGCAGTTAACAAAGGTAATAAATAAATAAATAAAATCAGTTGTCGGACTTGGTCAACAATTTTTTTTTTTATTTTAAGTGGATTCGACTATCTTAAAAATCGTATTTTTGCAGGGACATTTTGTTGTGGATGCTATATATGAAAATTATGCTTTCTACCCTTGGTCCTTGAACTCTTAATGTCGTTTACTTTGCTATTTAAAATACATATAAAATGTTCTCCTTTGACCAAAATATAACTTCCATAAATTTACTATTTAATAGTGGTAAGGCAGGATAAAAATAAAGGCAAAAGTGCACTTTTGAAGAAAAACTTAAACACTGGTTTTAAAACAACCAAAAGCAACAAAAATATCACCAAAGTGCTTTATTAAAAATTGGAATTAATTTAATTTCTTTTGTTTATTAAAATTCAGTTTTTTTTAAAAAAAAATTAAAAATAGTTAAACAAAAGACCAAAGTCAAAATAAAATATTTAATTGCTTATTTTTATATTTTTAAGAGGAGTTTATGCGAGAATTTGAAAATATCGGTCAGGGGTTTTGATATTTTTTTAATTTTAATATCGAAATCGATCCCATCCGAATTTTGACCTATGAGAATACTGTTTTTCAATTTAAACCACATACAATAAATTTTTGAGGGTTTATTAAATACTATTTTGTACACATTCCATTAGAATCTTTGTGTATAATAAAATATTTTATAAAAAGAAATTAAATGAAGAATAAATAAATAAATGGAAATTTTTACCAGAAAATGCCCATATACCGATACTGTCACATATTATGCCGATACCTGTCATGATAGGACACCCGGTGTGCACTGTTTTTGCGTCAAATTTTATATAAAAACCATTAGATGCGTTCAATGTAATGTGTTGTCTTCATTAAATTATTATATTTAAAAAAATCACCATATTATTAATGACAACTGTAACTATAGGGTCTAGAGACCTAAGTTGAGGAAGCATAACAAGCTTAACTACCGGTGTCGATTCCCTAAGGGACCATGTTTTTTATTAAAGGAACCATCATGGATGAGATTAAGATTGGGTTGGTTAAAAGGTAGCCAGATATGGGGTAGGATTAATATATAATAAATTAATAACAGTTGGTTATGGATTAGTAAATTTTTATATGGTGTACAGAGCTGCACACTATTATTACCGTCACCGGTACTTATATTTTAAAAAAAACTTATGCAATATAACAACCATATTTTATTTAAACTCTTCTGTTTAGGAATATATAATAAATGTAATAATTATGATGGAATAAAATGATAATAATGAATCTGACATTTTTCTTTTCGAATTATGATTTGCTTCTTTTATGGCATAGTCAAGGGGATGTATATGGATGCATACATAAATATTGTTTATTTTTAATGTAGAAAATACATTTGATGAATGCTGCGGACATTCTGAAAAAGTAATTAATGAGATATTTATCAGCGATTTATATTTGGATCAATCTGGTATCGAAACTGATAATAAACACGACGCCGCCTATTGTGATCTTGTTAGTGATATCGATTTAAATAACGTGAATAAGAAAAATAACGATGGACAAACTGATAGTCAAAGTTAACTTCTTATTTTTAAAATTGAAAATTTTTAGGAGCAATATACCTTTGTATTTTATAAATAAGAATAATTTAATAATTTTCAATTCAACTTAAGAAAGAAAGAGGAATATATATAACTAATGATATTTTCATTACAAAAAAAGCTAATCATAACCAAGAGTCGCCAACGCCCGATTTCAGTAAAACTCAACTCATAATAAACGAATGGCATAAACATACTAACGATGAAACATATGAAATTAATCATATGATTAACAAACTTAGCAACAATCAAAGAACCTCACCTAATTATCGATTGAATAAAACTCTGGGAAATTTGGTTAAATTATTATCGATGCCTTGTGATAGACAGGATCTAGTTGAGGCATTATTTCAATTGGTACCTTTGTTTGCGATTACATCTAGAGAAGAATAATAAATATTAATATTTTTAAAACAAATTGTCTTATCGAATTTGTATTTAAGAAATATGTATTCAATGCAATTTTTTAATAAAATATATCCTTTATGATGAACACTTGGGATGTTATAGACAAATTTTAAATTATCATGTTTTGTAATATATGCAATTGAATATTATACCTTTTTAAAAATAATTTTATATATTTTTTTTACTTGATAATTATATTTTAAATAAATTTTAAATAGCCTTTTTGTTAATTTAAAATAATACGAATGCTATACCAAGAAACAATCTAATATTTTGATATTAATTGCAAACCTCTTCCACACTATATGCTAAGGTCTTATCGAGATAGTTAAACTTATAAAATATTAAATAATTTTCTATTTAAATTATTTAAAAAATATTAAAATTTTTATAGATACATTTATACAAGTGGAATGCTACTAGGGACTTACACTACGGGGAGGGGGATCATTGAAATGGTGGGCGAGGATGTTAAACGCTATCATGATTTGAATAAAATTGGGGGGATAATTAGTTTTAATTTGGATTTCATTTTTTGCTAATTTTTATTTCGTAGGAGATGAGAGGGTAAATTTAAAAGGAGTAGGTAGGGATAAAATTTTTGGATCTGAGGTGGACAATATAGTTATTGGCTTGGGGGCGAGAGTTCCTGAAATAGCCATGAAAGATTAAAAATTTGCTGAGTAAGAATATAGCTGATTTTAAAATGATTCATTTAATCGATAAACCTTGATCGATTTGAGGATTGAAATTAAGGAGGTAGAAATGCCTCCTCATATGTTGATATATTTGAATTATATCAACTTAAATTTTACCTTACGGACTTATTATATTATTTCTTTCACTTAACATAATATTAATCTAATAGTTACATTGATTGTTATTTACTTTTGAAAAGTATATATATAGAATTTATTAGGTTAATAGTCAGTTAGTTATATTTTATAATAATAATTTTTGTTTCGATATCTTTTTGCTTATCCATACCACTCACACTATATTAGCATATGTCAAATTCTGGCTAAAAACATAGTCTTAAAAAAAAATTTTATTTTTATTTATTAGTCAAACCATAAAAAAAATTAAATATATAAATAAGTAGAATTCGTCTTTGTTTTTGAGTAAAATGATCAATTACTGAATTATAAAAGTTATTGCTAGATTTTAAATTTTTTAATAAGTTTTTTTCAATCGAAACCAAAAATAGATTTAAAATTTAAAAATTATTTTTATATTAAACTTATAATTTATTAATTAAAAGTTAGCGGAATATATATAAAGTTATTTTACAAAATTCTATTTGCTTAAAATAATTGTGCCCAACAGTGGTATTGTTTATAATTAATTGGTGTCATGGCTAAGCAAGGATTTATAAATTCCTTTTGCACGATAAAAATATCAATCACAATCTTGAACTGATATCTATAGATATAAATGAGAAAGAATTAATATTTATATATTTTTTTTATTTAAGTTTTAATATTATATATATATAATTAAGTCTTAATATTTTTATAATATATATTTAATTAAATTATATGCTTATACATATGTGATAAAATTTACACTTAAACATTTTTATTTTTAGATAAAAAAGCGATAAATAAAAGCAGGGATGTGAACCCTTCGTCTTAAAAAAAGGTTTCGGGTTCGGGTACAGTTAAAAAAAATTTAAAAAGGGTCCGGGTTCAGGGATTAGGGAACGTAAAAAAAATGACTCAAAATCAGACTTTTTTTTCATTTTTTTATTATATTTAATTATATACACATTCATAATTAACAAATAAAAAATTTTAAAATAATTTATATTTTAAATGTTTTATTAAATCGCACAATCATAATATCTTCTAAAATATCATCCTTGAGATTTCCACGTAAATTAGACAATATTTATTTCAAAGATGAAAATCCACGTTTGCGCTTACCTAAAATAGAAAGTTATCTTTATATAACATAAATTATTGTACTTGTGTCGCCGGTACAACCATGACGATTCTATAAAAGATATATAATTCTGGATATATTGAAGGATCCCAGGATTTTAAAATATTTGTATCCTTTATTCTCTTAACTTCTGAGAACTTTTCAATTAAAGATGCAATAGTCATTTTTTGATCCTCCTTTGTATCGAATGATAATTTGATTTTTTCTCTATCTAAAAATATTTTCAAGATCATCATTGTTGCCTTCATTATCATCAGTGCAACCAGTAGGTATTGGCAGCCTCTAATATACTGTATATACTGGAGTTTTGCGTGTGTCATAATTAAGATGGTCTTTAGCCATTTGTTTTTGCTCTACTTAACTTGATATCGAGGGTCTACATGTTTTCTAATACTCCTTATGAAAAAGGACTAATAAATCTTTCTAAATCTAATCGGCATCTAATCCATATGCCATAAAAATAAGTAAACATAATTGTTCTGATTTTCATTCTTAATGTTATTATTTTTAAAGTAACTAATACACTAGTAAGGTCCTTTATTTGCCACCAATCATCTTTCGACAAAATGACTTCACATGCTTCTATAATAAAATGATTACAGAAATCTTTCAAACTTAATAGTCATTCCAGCAATATAAAAATTGAGAATCAACGTTTGTGCAATCTAATATTGCCATTGACCTTTTCATTGATTTTAATATTCTTACAATTGTGGGAGTTCTTAAATCAATGATTAAAGTGATTTTTTTAGGCGATCATTAATAGCCAATTGTAGAGGAAATAATATTAACATTGACAAAAAAACCGAAAATAAAGAGGAAACAAGAGGTTCAAATATTAATTATATCAGAAAAATTACTAAGACTAAATTCTACTATAAAGCTAAACTCAGAATGCAAACTATCAAATTAAATGCTAGGCAAACTAATCTTCGGATCTATATCTTTATTAAATAAAACTATTTCAAATTACAAAGGTAAAAAATTAAAGGCGCAAAATATTATCATAATTTAAAAAGGTTTTATTACCATCAAAAAAAAGGTTATCAAAAATTTAAAAGTCACAAAAATATAAAAATCGAAAAGTCATAAAAAAAAAGTGTTTCTTTGTTCAACAAAAAAATATAAACAAAAATCTTTGTCAGAAATGACTGACATTTGGTTAATTAAAAACTAATATATTTATAAAATTGATTGATATTTCTACTAAAATGGGTATCATTTATGACATGCCACCCCTTTATGGGCTGTGGCACGCCAAATAACAAAAAAAATATAATATAAAAGGTGTCTGGGTGCAGCGGGGACCTTTTGTGGAGCCTTCAGGAGAGTAACTGATTCTCCCACAAGTCCATGTCATCTATACGTGTAGCTTCCGCAGAAAAAGCTGACGTCGTCGGCGTAGGTCCTTGAATGTTATCGACCGTTCGCGGGAGAATGTTGTCAATGGGGGGGTTTGACGTGCTGCTGGAACTTCCGCTGGAGGTACCATTCAGGGCACCCCTGTTGGCTGACGGCGCTTGTCGTATGGGAGCGCATGGAGCTGTCTCCCGCGTAGAGTCCTCCCCTCTCCTTCGATATTGCCTGGTTGATTGCCCAATAGTGTTGTCATTGATAGGGGCTAGAGGCGATCGCCCGTCTCTTCCTAAGCTTGGGCACTGGCTTCGAATATGATCATTGCTTCGACAATGGAAACATTTCTTGATACGGGGACCTCCAGACATCATCGAATTATCTAGTACCATCGTGGCTGGTATTGTCATACCGGTATTCTTGGGGATCAGGGTAATTTGAATGTAGCAGGACCCCCCTAGATCCACTAATCGACTGGTAGTTTCCATTTATCTTATCGTCCGGAATATGTGGATATCAGCTGCAACGGGAGATTTATTTTTAAATTTTTAATATAAAGTTAATTTACTTTAACCTCTTTTTTTTTTTTAAAAAAAAATTTTAAATTTTTAATATAAAATTAATTTACAAAATTTTAAATTTTTAATATAAAACTAATTTACTTTAACTTATTTTTTAAAAAAAAATTTTATGTTAAAAAATTTTATGTTTAATAAAAAAAAACTATTTTTATACTCACGATTTACGGCGCAAGCATATTGTATCAAAACAAAAAAAAATATTCCTCTCAATAATATTATTATAATATCCCTTGGTGGGAGCGTCAATTGAAACAAATAACATACTTTCTAACTTATTCACGCGAATCCCCCAATAAAAATAAGTGAGGAAAAATTTTTGCCATCCTAAAACTAACAGAAAAAAAAAACTAAACTTTCTATTATTCTAATAAAAGATAAACATCTTTTCTTTTCATTACATTTTAAAAAAAAAACTTTCTATTAATCTAATGAAAGATAAAAACATTATTTCATTACTTTGAAAACCAAACTTTATTTAATACCAGATAACATTAACACAATTTTTCCTTACACAAAAAAAACTTGCTATTCATTTAATAACGGACAATATACACACATGTTTTCATTACTTTGAAAATCAAACTTTATTTAATACAAGACAACATTAACACAATTTTTCCTTACACAAAAGAAAAAAAACTTTCTATTCATTTAATAACGGACAATATACAAACCTGTTTTCATTACTTTGAAAATCAAACTTTATTTAATACAAGACAACATTAACACAAATCTTCATTTGACAAAACAGACAAAGACATTCCTTAACGAACCAAACCGAAAAAAACTTTCCATATCATTACCATGTTGATAAATTTATTAAACTTGTCTATATGGACCTATTTTTAATATGACCAAATATATTAAGAACCCGATTTTATTAAACTCATCTAATCTAAATTGAAATATGCTTTTAACTGAAAATGACCAACAACCTGTCTATATTGAACTATTTTCAATATGACTAAATATATTCGGAAACCGAACCCATATGTACCCCAAACAAATAAGACGCTTCTTATTTATCCCAATCTCATATGATCGTGATGCCGAACCACGGTCACCCCTGTTATTAACAAAATTTCACTTAATTTCGAACCCCGGTTCAATATGACCCGACCCTTTTCCCATTTGGTTGCTCGATTGTCGAACAATCGGGCCCAAACCTTTTGTCCCACGGCAAACCTTACCCTTAATTTTACTTCCATTGAGGTAATAGTCTTCTTCTTTGGTTTTAA